ATTATTATTTTGAATCCTGCTGAATGAGTTACTCTGCTTTCTGAATGTGATGGCTGCTGCAAACTCTGAATAGGCAAGTCAGCTTCAGCACTTATTGCAGCCTGATTCAGCATGAACAGCTGATTGGCAGGTGGATCAACTGTGGGAATACCCCCAATCAGCTGTTCCAGGCTGCAGGGATTGTCATAGACCATCGCCGCCTCCCTTTTTTGGCCTCTGGTGGGGTGGGTGGGGCTACATTCGGTGTATAAGACGCACCCTCTTTTGGGGGCAAAAAGGTGCATCTTATACTTTGAAAAATAGTAATATAATTCCAGCTGTAAAAATTAATACAATACAATACTAATACTTAGTAACAGGTCAGCCAATGGGGACTGTTTGGAAACTGAAAACATATTTGCTGGAGATAGCTGGGCCTGTCTTAGTTTAACTTTTGTGCTGAAGCTGAAAACTACTGTATTTTTCAGAGTATAAGATGCACCTTTTACCCTCAAAAAAGAGGCTGAAAATCTGGGTGCATCTTATATACTGGATACAGCATTTTTTGCCTTCCGAAACCCCGCCCCCGTCACCAAAATGGCTGTGCATACCCTCTAGGAAGCTTTCAGACAGCTCTTGGGGGCTGGGGAGGGCAGAAATGAGCGAAAAATGGCCCATTTTTTGCTCAATTTTACCTCCCCTCCAGTTCCCAGGAGCACTCTATAAGCTTCCTAAAGGCTATCCATGCCTTTTTTTGACAAAAAACGGGCCCATTTTTGTGAAAAACGGGCTGTTTTTTGCTCGTTTTGGCCCCCACCCCGCAGGAGCATTCTACAAGCCTCCTAGAGGGTATTCATGCCATTTGGGGGTGGGGGGAAAGGCGCCCGTTTTTGCAAAAAAAAAAAAAAAACGGGCCTTTTTGGGAGGTTTGCAGAGTGCATAAACTTTTTGTTTAGTTTGCCTCTTCAAAACCTTGGTGCCTCTTATACTCCGGTGCGTCTTATACTCCGAAAAATACGGTAGTCTGCTGAAACTAGTCAAGGAGAGAAGCAACCTAGAACTAAGGAGAAATTTCCTGACAGTGAGGACAATTAATCAGTGGAACAACTTGCCTCCAGAAGCTGTGAATGCTCCAACACTGGAGGTCTTCAAGAGAGTCATTTGTCAGAGATGATATCTCCTGCCTGAGCAGGGATTTGGACTAGAAGACCTCTGGGGTCACTTCCAGCTCTGTCATTCTGTCAATAAGCGTTATGGCAATGGTGGGTAGATGTCCCAGAGACCAAATTTACTGCGTCTTTAGCCAAAGATGTGTCCAGCAGCTACGCACAAGGGTCTCTAGACTCTTGAGTGACCGCTAGCACTTGGCTTTTTACACGCGGAAGGATATTTTCCAGTCGTGACTTCACATAGCATCAATCAGCAGGCCTGGTGACAGTCGATGACAGGTGATTGGACACGACTTCTCAAAAACATTACATGCTGAACTGGCAGATGGGACTTTGTCCCCACCCAATTTTCCACCCAGGACGGAAGCTTTGTTTAATAATTAACCACGCCGTTCATTTAAGTATCTCGTACGCATAGCTAACGGGAAAATAAGTGAAGAATTCACAGTCGCCCCGCTTCCTTTCGTTTTGAGGGAAAGGGGTTCAAAAGAACTTGCTTGAAGATGTAGTCTAATTTCCTCTTCAGTTATTACATCTGACGGACAGATTTGCCACACAATTTAAGCAAAGAAAAGCAAACATTTCTGCTTCGTTTGTTGTTGTTGTTGTTCTTGGTTTACTTTTTCTTCTCTTCTGGAGCACTTCCTAGCAATCCCAAAATTTGAATATGAAGGAGAGGGGGAAATAAAAAGCTATTGGAAACGCATCAAAGAGGGAAGCAACCTGGAATTAAGGAGAAACTTCCTAACAGTGAGGGCAATTAACCAGTGGGACAGCTTGCCACCAGAAATGCTCCATCACTGGAGGTTTTTAAGAAGAGACGAGACAGTAACTTGTCTGAAATGGTATAGGATCTCCTCCGTGACCAGAGGGCTGGACTAGAAGACCTCCAAGGTCTCTTCCAGCTCCTATTCTATTCCATTCCATTCTTCCTGGCTACTGGCCCAAGGTAACCCAGCTGGCTTTCATACATAAGGCCGAACTAGAACTCCCCATCGCCTGGTGACCGGCCCAAGGACATCTTGCTGGCTTTCATGCATAACGCAGGGCTGGAACTGACGGTCTTAACCACTAGGTCATTGATGGCTAATCTTTTTCCCATTGTGTGCCAAAAGCGGGGAAGACGGGGGGATCGTGTGCATGTGCCCTCCACCCATGCATGCGCCCCCGCCCCAATTTTGGCGTGCGATGGCATGGGGGACATGTTTTTTGCCCTCCCCAGGCTCCAGAAGCTTTCTAGGCCATTTTCAGCATCTCCACCCCCCGCAGCCCCTTGGGAGGCCAGAAATAGCCCGTTTCCCGACTTCCCGGTTGCCCATTCCAGAACTTCCGATTTGTGCGGAAATTCAGGGAAGCCTCCAGAGGGCAAAAAACGGCCGAAAATGAACCCCGAAATCAGCTGGCCAGAGTGCGCATGCGCGCTGGAGCTGAGATGGCAATGCCTTGTGTGCCCTAAGAAATGGCTCCATGTGCCACCTGTGGCACACGTGCCATAGTTTGCCATCATGGCACTAGGCCAAACTCTCTCTTATATGTGCACCACATAAAACAAGTGGGAGCATGTTGCTAAATTCTAATAAGCTCTATACATGCAATGGATTGGATGCGTAAATCCCACCAATTTCAATATATTTATAAATCTTATAGACTTACCTTCAGCTATCAATCTATCCATGCTATTATAATTAAACCTGGATCCAACCCACACTTACCAGATACGCATCTCAGGAAAAAGCATCCCCTTAAGTCCGTTTCCTGACTGGCACGACTAAATTAATAGCTTCGGTTAGATGATCTTGAGGTCTTAGTGCCGTGATGGGAAACCTACGGCACGCGTGCCAATGGTGGCACGTGGAGCCCTCTCTGTGGGCACCTAAGCTGTTGCCCAGCTCAGTCGTGCAAGCAATTGTGCCTCCCGCCGGCCAGCACATGATTTTTAGGTGGGCTATGCATGCAGGATGTCAGCTCCGGCCAGCTCAGGGGAGAAGACTGGGCCAGCTGCCAAGACTCGCCGTCCCACCTACACAAACTGAAGAAATTCATGCTAACGATCCATGATTAATTGCGGGTGGTTTCGCTCTGGGTCACAAGGTAATGGGTGTGCGCACCTTATCTTAATGACCAGTGTAGCTATAAAAGGTGGTGGGAAGCACAGGGTGGCAGTTCTGACAAACTGTCAAGGTTCCGAAGGGTTAATGAAACCAGCCAAAGACAGAAACGGTTTGTAAATGCAGTTTGTATTCTTCCTTCGGCACAAACTGACCAACAAAGCACTAAAGGTGTTGGGAAGCACAGGGTGGCAGGTTGACAATTTATTCATTGCCTTAGTGCTTTGTTGGTCAGTTCGTGGCGAAGGGAAAATACAAACTGCATTTACAAACCGTTTCTGTGTTTGGCTGGTTTTCATTAACCCTTCGGAACCTGACACTGGAGACTGTGTATGTGTGGGGGGGTGCGCGTGCATGCACCGAGGCTATGGGTGAGTGCAGGGTGTCCCAGGAGGCTTCAGGGAGGCCTGCTANAGAGAGAGTGAGAGAGAGAGAGAGATAGATAGATAGATAGATAGATAGATAGATAGATAGATAGATAGATAGATAGATAGATAGATAGATAGATAAACAGAAATGACCACGGAGACATCTTCGGACAGTGCTGGCTCTTTGACTTTGAAACATAGATGAGCACCGCCCCCTAGAGTCAGGAATGACTAGCACATATGTGCAAGGGGAACCTTTACCTTATAGTTGTACTGTTGTTGGGGGGGGGGGGTGTTTTTAAACTATGTTCTTTTAAGCATTTCTTTGCCTCAATTTTGCTTTTTGGATAGTTTTCCTGAAAGTTGAGTTGGTTTTGTTTACCCACTTTAGAATGCTTTTTTCTCATTTAATTTTTTTTTTTTTACCAAGATACACACTCACACACTGAGATTAAGCAGTCGGCTCTCCAAAGAGTGAAAGTAGGCAATTTTTAATATATTTTTTTAAAAAAGATACACTTGTAGGCTTTTGCTAGTAAAAAATGAGCTTGTTCTGATGGTTTGCTTTACAGCCTCCTAATTCTGGATGGAAAATGTTTCTTGCACGTTCCCCCCCTCTCCCTTACAGTGGGCTTTTATTTTAAATGGGTTGAAAGTTTGCTGCTTTGGCTAAAGATAAAACTTTTATGCGTGAGTGTCTGGCAGACGTTGTGTTTATTTTTACTGAGGCAAAGGGGTTTTGGGTTTTTTTTTCTTAAATGGTTCGGATCTGTGCTGTTTTAACAGGTTTAGTCCTGATATTTATTTAATGGACTAAACCTTTGCTCCTAAAAGGCCTTATCACTTGGGTAATGAAACCGTGACATGCCAATCTTAACATTTTGTTTATAACAGGGCACTGTAATCGTTTTAGAGGGCCCAGCACCACAGACTTCCAAAAACCCATCATTTCTGTATTGAAATAATAACAGAATGAGAGTAACATGGTTGGAAGTTTCCTTGGAGGTCTTCTAATCCAACCCCCTACTTAGGCAGGAAACCCTACACCACCTCAGACAAATAGTTGTCCAATCTCTTCTTAAAAACTTCNGCCACTCCCATCCGGTCACATGGGTGGCAAGCCACTCCCACAAAGGAGGCCACACCCACAGAGTAGGTTCGAACAATTTTTGAAAACCACCACTGCACGTGACCACAGGATTGCTGCCATGGTCATAAGTGTGAGAAATGGCCATAGATGGCCACTTTTTTCCAGTGTCGGTGTAACTTTGAGCCTTCGCTAAAAGAATGGGTTGTAAGTCGAGGACTGCCTGTATCCATTTCTTTTCTTGTTTGGTTTATAATCCTGTGGTTTTCTTTTTGGATCCTCTGTGGAGATGTTAGATAAGCTGAAGGATCGCTGGCTGCACACAAGCTTGTGGGAGAAGCTTGAGCTGATTAAAACGGTCATCGTGGAACCCAAAGGAGGCGACAAAGCTGATTTTGATGAGCTGCTTCAAATATACTCCGATGCCATCAAGTCTCAAAACGGCAAAGGTACGTAAAAAAAACGCAGGAACTGTAAGCCTTGATAGGGATAAAGGTTGACTGGAGCAAGATTCCACCATATATACAGGTGATCTTCAACTTCAACGATCAAAGTTAGAACCAGAATTTCCGTTGCTAAGGAAAGTTGCACCCAATTTTACAACCTTTTCTGCCAGTGTTGTTGAGTGGATCACCATTCTTGTTAAGTAAAGCACATGGGAGGTGAGGGGTGGTGATAAGATAAGATAATTGTCATTTTCTACTGTGAGCACACTGACACACATTAAAAAATGAAATTCTGTTGCCTGCTCTTAAAAGAAAGTACCTTATTTTTCGGAGTATAAGACGCTCCTCCCCCCCCATAAAAGAGCGTGGAAATGTTGGTGCATCTTATACACCAAATATAGCCATTTTTTCCTCCCACCCCACCAACCTCATCCCATTTTTGTGAAAATTGGGCGAAAAACAAGGTGTCTTTTGCAAAAACAGGAGTGTTTTTGCCTTTCCTCCACTCCCTAGAAGCACTCTGCAGGCTTCAGCAGGGCTGGGGGAAGGGAAAATGATCCCATTTTGGTGAAAAACGGGTTTTTTTTTGCAGAGTGATCCTGGGCCAGGGAGGACAAAAACTTTTTTTCTTACTTACCTCTTCAAAATCTTGATGTATCTTATACACCGGTGCATCTTATAGTCCAAAAAATATGGTATATATCAACCCATACACATGCATAATGCACATATACACATGCTATAGAACTAGCACTGGCACTTCGACTTATACACCGCTTTACAGTGCTTTACAGCCCTCTCTAAGCGGTTTTACAGTCAGAATATGCCCCCCACCCCCAACAATCTGGGTCCTCAGTTTTCAGACCTCAGAAGGATGGAAGGTTGAGTCAATCTTGAGCCGGTCAGGATCGAACTGCTGAACAGCCAGCAGAAGTAGCTTGCAATACTGCATCCTAACCACTGTGCCACCATATACATATATACATACATGCATACATACATACATACACAGACACACATACACACATATACATTGCATTGTTATGCAATGTTATATTGCATTGTTATATTCGTTATATTATATTAAGATTTCTACACCCATACATATATATATATACATACATACATCTCTATCTATCTCTATCTACCTGTCTAGTCAAAATAACATTCTTTTCTCTGAGAGTCAAGGACACCTTGCCCTGCAGCTGGGATGGGGTGATTGGGTGCCATCTCCAGTTTTTGGATGGTGTCTGATTGGATCATGTGATGGACATGTGGGTCAGGGGTGGGTTCCGGCAGTCACTTCCAGCGGTTCGTACATGTGCACTTGATGCGTGGTGCATGTGCAATGCAATAAAAAATGCTCTGCGCATTCGTAGGAGCAAAAAACAAGATGGCGGCACCTATGGCACCACCGGGAAAACTGGTTCGGGGACGTGACAGGCCTGGGTCGCTGCGATCCAGGCCGCCAAACCACTACCAGTTCAGCTGAACTAGTAGGAACCCATCCCTGATGTGGTTGCTGGGCAGGGACCTGGACTTCCTTTTGGGTGGGGAAAACCTGGAAACTTTCAGATTCGGGTTCTCCCAGATGTGCCAATATGTCATCCTTAATAAAGTGGAACTTTCAGGAAACTCAAGCCTCGGAGTCTTCTTTCGTTGGGGTTGCTACTTGGAACCTCTGACACTACCCTTCTTAAGTGTGAATGGCCATATATCACTTTTTTCACTGCCGTTGTAACTTCAAACAGTCGCTAAATGAGTGGTCGTAAATCAAGGGCTACTTGGATGATGTTAGACGGTTGCCTTCTTTTGCTTCAGACGGAGCGCTGCTTATTGCTGTGTGCAGAGGCAAAGTCAGCGAAGGCCTGGATTTCTCCGATGACAACGCCCGGGCGGTTCTCACCATTGGAATTCCGTTTCCAAACTTGAAGGACCTTCAGGTAGGAGATGCTTAAAGTCTCTGGAGGTGTGCAGACAGTCCTCAACTTACAACCACAATGGAGCTCAAAATGTACGTTGTTAAGTGTGTTGTGTCCTGGCAGCAGAGCTGGCAGCACATTTAGACAGTGAGGAGGTTGGGGAGGAAGATGGGCCAGTCTTGGAGTCTGGGGAAGGCTCTGATGAGGGCTCTGTGTCGGGGGCAAGGGCCGTCTGACAGTTATCAGCTGCCTTCGGAATCAGACAGCAGTGAGGCAGAGAAACAGCTGGAGCCAGTATGCGCATGCACAGAGTTGCCAGAGGAAGGGAACAGCTAAAAAACAGGGGCCGACTTGGACGGTGAATGGCCCCTCCCAGAGGACATAAAAGAGGAGCAAAAGGGGAGTGGAGTTTGCAGGAGACCATTAGTTCGCTTAATTGGTTCGTGACTCTCCGAGGCTCCTTGCCAAGTTNATTTCGTCCTCCGAGGAGAGAAAGATTAGCTTTCACTGTCTTAGTGCCAGGACTCCAAAAAAGACAGCTTGCTCCATTTTTTTTTCAATCATGACTTCCATGCAACACAGCTTGAGGTGCCACAATTAATTTTTCACTGGAAGGAATAAATCGTCTTGTGAGCCAATATGCTGTTTATTCACAAGAAAAGGAAGAAAAACAAGGAATCTTTGATTTTTATCGTGAGCAAATGTACTTCTTGGCAGCGTGGTGTGTGTTTTTTCCTTCCCCCATATTGCTCCATCGACATGTAAAGGGCATATTACAACATAGAGTAAGGAGAGGAATTCGCACAGTCCCATCTTATTTTTGCTTGCTACCTGGCAACCGTTAAAGATTTCCTATCCATTTCTTGGATAGCCTTGAAAGGCAGGGGGACATAGTGCCACGAACCATGAAACTGGTTTTGTACATCCAAAACGGCTAATTTTCAAACATTTCCAGAGCCTGGATCACTCCAAGTGCCTTAGTTGAGTTCTTGGCTTACTCAGTTTTGGATGTATGCCCAGGCAAAGTTGAGGGGAAGAAATCTATTCAAGATCCAACCTGGGTCAGTCACCGGGACCAGAGATGTTGTCTCCAGGGCTTTCGGACTTTGGATGGGATCCATCCATCCTCTATCAGAATGTGTGTTTTGGGCTAGTCTATGCTTTGTATTTATGTGATGCCTTCCTATTGGCTGATCGGTGTGTTGATGGCCGGCGATTGGCTGTTGTTTCCTTGTGCTGTCAAGCCCTTGGCTCCTAAGTACCCAATAAGTAGCTCCTCAGATGCCACTCTCTACTAGCACTGATGATGTTACCTAGTTCGGTAATGAAACATCTGCAAGAAAACCACCAAGCTCAGAGGGCATCAAGGACCCCATATTACTACTGCTGCTGCTGCTACTTTTTCTTCTCCTTCTTCTCTTCTCCTCCTCCTCTTCCACCTCCTCCTCCTCTCCACAAACCCCACTCCCTTCTAGCACTGATGATGTTATTTAGTTTGGTAATGAAACGACTGCAAGAAAACCACCAAGCTCAGAGGGCATCAAGGACCCCATGCTGCTGCTGCTGCTGCTGCTTCTTTTTCTTCTTCCTCCTCCTCCTCCTCCTCTTCCTCCTCCCCCCCCTCCTCCTCTCTACAAACTCCCTTCTAGCTTTGATGATGTTACTTAGTTTGGTAATGAAACGACTGCAAGAAAACCACCAAGCTCAGAGGGCATCAAGGACCCCATGCTATTGCTATTGCTGCTACTACTACTTCTTTTTCTTCTTCTTCTCTTCTCCTCTTCCTCTCTCCATAAACCCCACCCCCTTCTAGCACTGGTGATGTTACCTAGTTTGGTAATGAAACGTCTGCAAGAAAACCACCAAGCTCAGAGGGCATCAAGGACCCAATGCTGCTGCTGCTGCTGCTGCTG